CTTACTTTTGGTTTTCAGCCTTCAGTTTTCCAAGCGAAGCCTTCAGCATCCTGCTCGTGAATGCATAATTGCTCTGGTTTAGTCTTCATCAAAATGTCCGGAATGAATGACCTGGAGCTGAAGAAAAAACATGATCAATTTTATACAGCCCAACCAAAATCCTAAACTAACAAAATCTCATCTATGAAGGGTCATTCAATTCTCTTTTGAATCCGGCAACACACCCTGCAATATATGTGCTACAAATACATGAATAAAGTATTTTCAAGCTTTTCAGAAGCAACCCCAGACTCTTTTATGTTTTCGGCTTAGCAGGAACTATGCTTTAACAACTGATGGGTGTACAATATAAAAATTGACCACACAGCAGAATTAAATCGTGGCAGCTTGGTTTTGCTGCATAAACTGAATGATCACATTCCACCAAAATCTCTCTTGAATGACCTAGTGTGAAAAGTATTCTTTATGTGGCACAAATTATTAAAGGAAGCAACGCCTCTGTAAAGCAACTCTTTTCAACAAGTCTCACTGAAAACACAGCGTGGACTTTTTTCAGACCGCTTAGTGTGCATAATTTGGACTTAAAATCTGTGTTCATTATACTGAAGTATGTAAACTTCACATGACAAAACCTGTTTATTTTTTCTACTGAGTTCTATAAAGCGCAAATGTTTTTTGAGGGGTAAGACTGAACTTCGAGACTGGAGGGATATGTATACCAGACTACAATAACAAATGCATATTGTCTGATTGATTAGACAGGTAGGATTCCAAGTTGATTGAGCACATACAGCTAATTATAACATTCAGAGCCGTAATAGCAAGGATTAAAAAAGACCTTAAAATGGATAGAAACCATGTTTTGAAGACCCTCATTGTTTTAGGAGTGAGGGAGAATTTCCTTTGCAAGCAGATTACCTGGTAGCTGTTTAGTGCATTAGTCTGGGACATGTTAATAGCATGAAAATGGACTTGATGGAGTCTTTGCTCGAACACGGCCGTTTCAGTGGTTTAATGCTTAAGTACAAAGAAGTTTTTAAATAATGAGCAAAAAGAGTCCTTTGGCAGGACTGTGAGAGTAATTATTATCCTGAGACATGATGATGACAGTTGCTGTCATGTATCGACTGATGATGACATTTTCTGTCATGTATCTGCCATATCTACTATCTACAATTTTTTTATACATTTTCTAAAACTTGCTGGCATTTACTGTCTTTCTATAAGTTTCCAACAGTATCTTCAAATTCCTTTTTAAGGCTATTCTCACTACTCTGATTTTGTTATCTTTTCTGTTTCAGGAAACTAATGGCAAACTACGTGCAACGCAGCAGATCTTTTCAACTTGGAATTAGTCATTACCTCTATTCCAAACTTCTCAGGCTTCCATAAGGTGTGCCCTCTTGCAAAGTACTACGAGCAAATGGGCCAATGTGAAGCATTACCGGGATGACAGACTTGTTTTTTTTCCCGCCAGTCTGTGTTTTTACTAAAATTAAAATATCAAAACAACACTCAGTCATTTTCAGGACACAATGCAAACTCCACACTAATTTAGCCCTGTTAATCTGGCACTGATCTAAGCCCTGTGCCACAGTTCCACAGTAAGCAAAAGCACATTGCTAACATGGTGGAGGAACTGGATGACAGGTAAAGCATCTACACAAACTCCTGTGACCTGTCGGAGATGTCTGCTTTGATTCCAAAATGTGTGATCTAATACACTAGGGATTTGTGGATCTCGCTAGGTAGCTGATAGGGGTCTGTGACTTTAAGTAGTATTTCAATGTGTTTACATTTAGCAGGTCTGTTCTTACTCAGCAATGCAGGCTGACATTGTTCAACTTCTACTTCACTCTTTTTTTTTCCTCCAGTCTTATATCATGTGTTCCTCAGAGCAGACGCAGTCATTGCTGAGTGTCTGCAAAACTCCTACTAGGCACTAGCTGTTCGTCAGCAGGTTTTACATTGCTTTCTGTAACAGCAGCGATTAAAGCCCAGGTCTTCAAAGGTAATTTGGTGCTTGACTTCTAATTCCTAATGAAAGCAGTGTCCTTGTGGGTTGTAGTCTGACTGCCTTCTGTGTAAAATTAGTATATAATACTGAAAGCTTTTACGGACCTCGTGGGAGCTCTGCCTATTTTTCAGGGAAACAACAACTAAGCCCCTCTCTTTTCTGTTTTGCTTGCCTGCTTGCTTGTTTTCTATATTATAGAACCTATGATTGCTATGGCGGAAGGAATGTTTGGAAGTATCTTTCCATCAAGGAAATATCTTTTCATCAAGGTGGTGAACGTTCATCCCTGCTACAGCACGATGGAGGGTTTTCCGCATTTCGGTGCTGCCTGGTCTCCGCACCCTGCCTGCACTCCTTCCATGGGGAAAGGCCTGTCCCAGGCTCTTGCATGAGGAGGTCAGCGCCATCCCGGGGCAGCCACGCTCCTTTGGTGGTTCAGCCCAGGGACGGCTGGGGGCCTCGGTCAAGCCCCAAGCTTGGGCTTGAGCCAGTCATTGCGCTGAAGACGTGAATCATGGGTTTATACTGATTTCTGAGAAGAGAGAAGGAGGGGCTGAGTGAGAGGCTAATGAACTGGGAATCTGAAAAATGGCATTCTCTTCCAGCTGGACCCTTCACATTTGATTTCCAGTAACACTGAAATACTGTATTTACTCTTACTTATCATTCATGTTACTGTAACACTATAGCTAAGTGCCTTGAGATGGTCTCGGCTCTGAAGAACCTGCAGTCTTACTTCAAAAAAAGACACAGCAGATGTGTAGGCAAAGAAAAATGTGATTCCTCATAACCTCAGTACACCCCAGCCTTGGGGACGTGGGGGCAAGGGGTGGCCTCTCCCCTTCTCACCTCCTGTCTGGAGCAGCCGAGGCTCCCCTGCCGTGCAAGCCACCCTGAGGCGAGAGGGAGCTGCTGACTGCAGATAAGGAGCAGGGCAAAGGCCCAGGGTGGGATCACAGCAGCAGGTGTCACCCCGGGGCATAAGCTGAAGCTGAGGGCAGGGAGCACCCCAGTTGTGTGCCCGCAGGGAGGCAGGGGCCCGCAGTCATGGCACGCACTTCTGAACTCCCCAGCTCACGAGCACAGCCAGGAGGTCGTGAGCAGGTTGAGGGAAATGATCGCTATCCTTTATTCACCTCCCATGCGACCACATTTGCAATACAGTGTGCATTTTGGGGACCCCCAGTACGAGAGTAGACTGAGAGAGGCCAGAGGAAAGCCACAGTGGTGGTCTTGGTTCTGGAGCATGTAACATAGGAAGAGATGCTTGGGGAGCTGCGTTTGTTCCCTCTGGGAAAGGGAGGAAAAATTGGGATTTAATTGCTGTCTTGCATGACCTAAATGGCGGGGTGGGGGCTCAAGGAGGCTGGGGAGAGGGCAGGGCTGGGATGGCAGGTAGTGTGATCTGGTGGGAAAAAGGGCAGCATCATGGAGGGACTGAAAAAAGAAAGAAATGTCTGAAAAATGCTTATAGCAAACCCTTCAACAGAAATCTTACAAGCCCTGAAGAAGTCCTGTGTCCATTTTGGACACTGCAATTAGCAGATATGAACTGGTAAAATTCAGAGTAGAGCAATGAAAATCACGAGAAGTGTAGATGGAAAAAAGTAGAAAGAGTGGAGCATATTCAGTTGCTAAAAGAGAAGTGGGAAGCATAATGAAACCTGCACGTCAAAGACAGTTACTAAGACATAGGGAATAGCTTGTCCTTCCTGCATGCTCTGAAGAGAACAAGTCACACACTGAAGCATTGAGCTAAATTGCTGCGGGAGCTTGTAGGTGTATCTGAAAGCAGGTTAGATAAATATCATTCGGGAATTGTTTAGATCTAGCTGATCATACCTTTGGGCAAGGGGAGGGCCAGATGGCCTCTCACAGCCCTTTTTGCCCCTCTGATTCTAGGATAATAGTGTTGATGCAATCCTAGAGCATGAAGAGCACATGTTAAGAATCCCTCCTTTCCTCTCAACAGAAATTTTCTTCCGTGTAAAATGTCCCTTTAAAACAAATAATCTGAATGAATAATGCTGAGCCGCTCTAGTTTCCCACTTTTGTGAGTGCTGCGTCCCTGAATCAGTTGCTTGGGTATTGAAAGTTGAGATGGATCCTCTGAGGTTTAATAAAGGTCTTGTCAGGTGGATAACACAAGCCTGCTTAAATGTGGTGCCTGAGTGAGACTTTACCTTTCTGTATGCCCCATGTAGAGATAGGCTCTTTGTTTCCACTCTGTTAACATAATAGATTTATCTATTAATTATTTAATTTAATTTATCTATTAAATATTTAATCTGTTAACAGCCACAGATTTCTGCAGGCTTGTGGTTTTATTACGTCATTTTGTCCCCTTTGGTGTCAGTTGTCAGCAGTCAAGGGAGGTTTGGAAGTATCTCTCCTCAGCTGGTGATGACAAGACTTGTGGATATCTCCAGCTCCAACCCACGCCTCCAGTTAGCAAATCCTAATAACTAGATTGTCCATTCAAGTGCTTGGAGTAGTGCTATACTGGGTGTGTTTGAAAAAGGGCTAACACAGCTCCACCACAACCCTAACCATGGGAGGTGGAAGGTGTGAAGCCATGTGTCTCTTGCACAAGCAGACGTCGGTCTTCGAAGGCAGGAGGATAAACGTCACCTTGCACAGCACTCCTTGGAGTTGGAGATCTGCAAAGCGTATGTCAGCTGTTAGTGTCTCCCTAGCCGATGATAATGGCTGCTCAGGTCTGCAGAGAAACTTGTGTAGTGGGAGACAAAAGGGCAGAGCGGCCAAGGATTTGGGGGTTATGGAGAAGCAATATGGCATGGTTATGTAGGACTGGCAGAGTCATTATAAGGACACGGGTAGATAAAGAAAGATAGACAGCTTGCATGGGTGAAAGTCAGGTAATTTTAATGAAGCTGCAGGGTGGCGATAAGGAATTGTTATCAAATTACTACTTTGCTGCTTTTGAAGTTAACTTTATTACCCTCTAATGAACAACCCCATGAACACTGAAGCTAAGGGAATTCTGGTGTCTAACAGACACCTTCCGTGTGAGCTGAGCCTTCAGAAAGGCTCACTGTCTCTCACGTGAGACAAATGTATGTTGTTCCCAATTTCTTAACGGGTTTTTAGAGGATGTTTTTCTTTTCCCCAGCTCTCTGTTTTATGGGGTGAGTAGGAACTTAATTCTGTTTGGGACTTCAACCACGCTGTTGAAATCTGTTGAGGTGGGCCAGTGAGTTTCAACATAGGAATTCAGGAAATGTGAAGATGTACATGCACCGCATGGTCATGTAAGCTAAAAGTCAGTTAGCCAGGCTGGAAATTATGGGAGTTTTAAATAATAAGAAAAAGGGGGGGGAGGGTAAGGAAAAGAAAAACAAGTTCAAGGAAGTTGTTTCTCAACGCATTTCTTCTTGAAATATGCTTCTGTATGTGGCAACACTTAAATAAAATGGTGATAAGGCATTTGTCAAATGGCTCAAATTTACTGTGCTTGAAATTGGAAGAGGAGTTACTCAAATTTTAGTAAATGCACAGGAGACCTGGAGCTCATAATATACTATGAAAGGTTTGTTTGTTTTGTCTAATTTACATCTTTCAACCTTTCATTTTCTGTAGAAGGAGATAGAGTATGAATTACTTTTTTAACGCAGCAAAGATTCTCTAAAGGTTACTATAGTCTCTGTAGTCCATTCAGCGTATTCAGAATGCAAATTAGTTCCAAATCAGAGTCTTTTTGTGAGGCTTTTCATTACAGGGGGACAAGTAAAGCACTCAAATTTCTTTTTTAATTTTAGATAAAGGTGGATCAAAAAGTGGATAGATCTCTTTATTTGTATTTTTAAGAGTCTTTTTAATACTTTTTCCTATCAAACATGAAATGGAAAATAGTTTTATTTCTAGGTATTTGGGGACCCCTTTGAAGCAGTGAGCAAAGGAATGCTTAATACTTTGAAACTATCTATTATTGAAACTATCAATTATTTTAACATTTTTTCAAAGGCAAAACAGGATCCTCACCAGACCAGCTTTGTGTCTCGTTTTTCTTGTTCTGACAGATTGTCTATCTGTAGTGTAATGAGAAGATGGTCAGACTAGCTTCATGTTTAGCACATGATACTTTTCATCTTCAAAATGCTTTGTGAACATCAAGCAAGCATATCAGCTTATGTTTCCTTAGTGAATACTTGTGTTGAATACAAGGAACAGATCATGACTTTTTGTAAAATCTTGTGGGAGTCATTGTATACTGGTGTTAATTTAAAAACCTTTCAAATATTAAGTAGGGCAAAATTAAACTTTTTCAGCAAACTAAACTAAGACCCATCGGATGCCTAGCGATTAGTAACATTGTCTGCTGAAGGTTTAGTATTACTGAGGTCTGGTTTTGTAATTTTAACTCAGGCTTTTGTTGAAGTCAAAGACTGCAGCACTGAATTCTGATTGAAGCAATTGTTTTATTATTTGCAATGTGCAGGGGTTGATCAAAGCTTTTGTGACTTTTCTCATTCTTCTTGTTCTTGCTTACATTTTACTACCACTTTCAGGACGCACCAACAGAGGTGAAAAATCTGCCTAGAATATATGCTGGGCCCTGACAAGAAAGGCAGGGAATAGACCATGAAAACCTTATATCTTACAGGTTTGTTGTGAGAAAACTGTGTTGTGGGGTTGCTTGTTTTCTAAAGAGCTCTAATTTATCAGGGAATACGTAAAGGTTGTGGTGCCAGGAAAGGTGATGGAGGAGAAGAAGAAAGGGACCAGTTAATTGTTCAGTTCTTGGTATCAGGTACTGCTAGATGCTTATTTAATAAGACTTGAGTCATGATGTGTGTGGTGGTTAGGAAAATGAAAACCTCTTCATCTCAAAGGAAGAAGTAACTTGGAAAAGCCAAGAAAACTGCACCTGGGAGATTTCTAAGGAGGAGTGACACCCTTGCACATGTTCATATTGTTGACCGTTCAACATTTCTACGTAAGAAAAATGCAATGATGTAACAGAGGAATATAAAATGGGATATAAAGTTCTCTGATTATATGTTATTTGGTTTATGTGTCCTTTCTTATTTTTTCTTATTTTCCATTAGAAACAGTCTCCTTTTGCTATGTCATCCATTTTCTTCTCTACTGTTCTGTTTTTAATGTTAACAATTTTTTCCTTTTGGTGATATTCAGTGCATTAATCTGTGTCTGGTTTTGACTCTTTTGGAGCTATCTGTAGTGCTCTCCCCCGCCCCCAGTCTTAAACTGCGTATATTTCTGAGAGGTTTTTTTATGCCCTAGAAAATGGTACTATATCTTAAAGATTTGTTCCCCTTCTTTTTTTCCCCACTCCCAGGGTTTGTTTTTGTCCCAGAAGAAATTCTTACTTTTTTAATAATCATGTAGAATTGATCCCTTTTACAGATCTCTGCAAAAATTCTGTTATCGTCCTCTGTTTTAAAATCATAAATAGATAATGCAGACGTTGAAATATTCTGAAGTTGTTGACTCATTACAAAAGTTTTGTAATTACCTTTATTATTAATGGTTTTCATTAGTAAATTCTTTGAGTTTACATTGGTCCTTTCATCCAAAAGGCTTATGATACTATATAATAAAACTTCCATTACATGTTAAAACATCCCTGGAAGACAAATGAGTCCTCAGACTTGTCTAGAGGTGTGAGAGAGGAACTGAGGCAAAGACTGCTTACAAGACAGGAGTGGCGAGCCAGTGGCAGAACGAAGACTAACTCTCCTGAGGCCCGAATTCTCCCCTTACTTTTCAACCATCCAAATTTTGGGGGGCAATTTTGAAAGAGCTGTATCTACATCTCACAACACCATTAGCATTGTTGCAGAGGGAGCAGCCTCCTTCTGCCCAGGAGAGAATGAGACAGCTGGAGAACAAGAAAACTGGGGATTTCTCTGGTCAGACCCTGAACAAGGGGACCTGGAGTCACAGAGGCTTGTGCTTAACACGGTGTGGTGGTGTGCATCTCCTTTTGCTCAGCTCCTGGTAGACCCGATTGCCAGAAGCTGGAGGCAGTGTTACTTGAATATGCACCTGAATTTTATTCTGAGTTTAAGCCCATGATACAGCTCTGCTTTGGCCGCTCCCTCTGACCCCTTTGAATGGAGAAACATGCTCTGTGGTACTAACATCAAATACCCCTAACCTGTGACTAGAAAAAAGGGCCAGAAATGAAGTCACCAGAACGTATTGTGTCAGCTGTCCTGAATGTGCAATTTTTTCTTTTAATAAGAGAGAGAAAAGATGTTCACAAGACCTTGTTTAGTGCTTTCTACTCACCTTGGCACTGGAACTCTGAATAGCTTCCAGTTAATCACTAGTTTGCTGGAGCTAGAGCAAAAATCAACGTCTACTGTTCTGGGGAAGTCAAATGCCTGAGCTGTTTGTAATGAATGGCTTCTACTAATGGCATGATCTTTAATCTTACAAATAACCAGAAGTGTGCATAGATCCATGGGAGTAAGAGGGAAGGACAAGTTACGTATTAGATACTGCACCTCACTGATGGACAGGTTAAACTTCTGTCCATAGCACTTCCTTGCAATGCAGAGAAATTTTTTTTTTTTTTGTGATATCCTGGATGGCAGCAAGAAGTCAGGTACTGACACCTGAACTGAGGATATAAAAACTGATGGACAGGTTAAACTTCTGTCCATAGCACTTCCTTGCAATGCAGAGAAATTTTTTTTTTTTTTGTGAGTAATATCCTGGATGGCAGCAAGAAGTCAGGTACTGACACCTGAACTGAGGATATAAAAGACTTCCTTTGGTGCATAGTTGCTTTTTGCACCTTCTAGACTGGAAGCTTCTGTTTCTTTTTTTGATTCATCATGTTAGAGCAGCTTGCCTCTGATGCTGGATTTTAAGCAAAGGAGATAACACAGCCTTTGAGCTGCTTCCCTCCCAGGAATCTCACTTTGCATCTGTTCATGGAGGAGGAGAAATTTCACTGTTGCTGATGGAGTCACTCTGCTTCGGAGAGCGGTGTGAGAATTATTCACCCGCTATTTCCTCCTGAAAGCAAGGTCCTTTGATCAGGTGAAATAACAGCAGCATTTCTCGAGGGCTTGGAAGTAGTGTTCTGCAGGAATTGGACTATCTTCTAATGAACCTAACAATTTCTTTCACTTTCCAGGCTTGCCAATGTTAGACTGCAGCCATGCTGCTTATCCAGTTCTGTTAGTAGTCGAGGTGGCACTAAGAGCACTACACATGGTTTATAACCCTACTACCTGTTGCATAAACATCAAACAAAATGCCTCTGCTGCAAAGACCTTACACTTGAAGAAGCTACCATTTGTTGTTGCTGTTTTGGGGCAGATACCTGGCTTTTTGTACGTCACTGTTCATTTTCATTTTTTAATTTCAATCTCAGTCCTTCATATCTGACAGATTTTTCTGTCAGAATTATCAAATGGGTATTCTTGATTTTTCCCCCCCGTAGGCTGACCATATTCTACCAAAAAGGTGCCATTGTGAATGGAAATTATCCCTTTGCTTTGAAAACTATGACATGTTCAGGTATCCATCTCAGCTCTGGGCAGCATGAAAAACCTCAAAAACTTTCAGCACCTTTTCAGTTGCTGCCTTCTTATGTTTCACTGCTGGAAGTGATTCCTTCAATCAATGACATCCATCCATTCCTTTGTTTTAATGCAAATTGTCTGAGGATACTAAAATTGATGAAGCCTTTATCTGACAGCTCTTCCCAGACGTTTGCTGAGCATCATTCACAGTTATCCCTTTTGGTTGTGCGCACATACTTAAATATGCAGTGCTATCTGAACTGAAGGAGGGTGTAGAAATCATTCCAGAATACTTCTTCGGCAGTGCTCCCAGCTGGGGCAGCTCCAGGTATGGGGCTGGAGCACCTACAAGTGTGAGAGCCATTGCTGCGGCTTGATCTGAGTGTGCTCAGCAGGCTGAGAGGCCTCCCTGGCCCGTTGTATCAGTGCCTGAGCTGCATGACTCCCTCCTGCAGGCAGATGCTCTCAGCTTGGCTACGGCGTTACGGAGCTACAGGAGGTCCCGCTCCCTGCACCCGTGCTAGAGTACGTGCATGCATCTGATCACGGGAACTGAGAGGCCACTACATCTAACAGCGGCAAGAACAAAGGGAAAGCTTTTCCAGAAATGCTCTCCTACCTGTTCTCTGCCTGTTTGAGAGCCCAAAGAGGACTTCACATACACAAGATCTAGAGGGGACGGAAGAGGCCATCAAATTGTACCGATCCGTTTAAGTCTGACCTTCCTTTTTTCGCAAGGAAAATTATCTGGCTTTAATTGTTTTGATAGAGTAATTTCTGATCAATTCCTTCTGCTCAATTTGTTTCCTTGTCCTCAATCCAAAATACAACTAACTCATTACTTCAAGTGGAAAATCTTTTTACAATAAATCAACAATATATGAGATATAAAATAATCTATTTTTGAGTCATCTTTGACTTGAAACTATAATTAATTTTCTCTTGGAATCTAGCTTCACCCTTTTGGGCTGAAATAATCCAACATGTCATTCATTCCCATTAGAGGGTCACCTGGATACAAGCAAGCGCAAAGCTGTTGCTGACTCAGTAGATAAATAAGTTCAGGAGACTTGAAATGAAACACTTTCATTATATTGACAGTAATTTCATACGACCATATGAACTGGCTGCAATGTAATGAGGAACTGGGAGAGTAACACAAGGGCCCACCTGGCAGAAGAATAACATGAGATCTGTTTAAAAGGAAAAAATTGCGGCATTAACTTACACTCTGTCCTGATTTCAAATGCAAATTACACTCAAAAAATGTTCAAGGCCGAAAGGTAGATAGAAAATGGAAATTCTTTCTTTGTTCCTGAGAGTGCACATCATGCAAAGGCAACATTTTCTGAATCTTATTCACACTTTTGACTCTAATCATATTAGTTTCCAAGGCAAATAATTTATTTTTCAGAATAGTCTATAGTTCTTGTGATTGATAAAACTGACACCTAAGGTGGTGGGAATCATCATGCAACAGAGGGACTGTGAGATATTCTTAGTCTGAAAAATTCCCAGCCAATAAAAGACTAAATTGCATAAACTAGATTGACCGTAAAGAAAACTGAATCCTGACAGTAAATGTCAGGAAATATATATTAATGTGCAGTAATGGAGTTAGAAGATAGCCTTTTTTTTGTCTTCTATTGCGACTTCAATAATTACTTGCACAAAATGTCTACTAAGTGTCTTTTAAAAAGACATAAACCAAGCTGGACTACTCCTTATATAAAAGCTTAAAGTAAACTATTTAAAGACTAATTGGACATGTGTAGGAAGAGAAATTGATACAAGAGGTTCCCGGATACTTTGTAATCATTAAATATGTTTTAATACAGTGATTATTAATTTTTTCTTTTGGCTTTTTAGGAGAATTAGGCAAAATGTGCAGTGAATTCTTACCTCATTTTATTGTGATTTTTTGAAGGAAAACAAGGAGGAGAACATGCATCATGCTTCCAGTCACTCTTTCTTGAATGATCAACGTGGTTGACATGAATGCACCTACCTGAGCCCCTCTCCTGCGAAGCATTAGAGCAGAACTGGATGAAGAACAGCCATTCCATCCCATGGAAAGCTCTTGAGGTTTTTGAAGTCTCTCTGTATCTTTTGTGGGAACAAAATACAAAGCAGCCCCTTTCAAATGCATTTGGAAAAGAGAGCTGCGTTTAAAAGCCTAGTTTGAGATCAAAGACCTCAGGTATCCAATTGGGGGTTTTCATTTTGGTCACAAGCGAAACTCTGTTGAAATGTTCGTGTTCCTCTGAGATGTTTCAGCTTTGATGTAGTGGGATATTTCACTAAATACCACTTTGAAAATGTTCTGACCAGGTCTATGATTTTGGTGCCATTGTGCTAGGAGGAGAGGAACTTAAGCGGGGAGAGCTGATAGACAAGGAGCTATGAAAGGCCTGGAAAAGGAACATGAACACTTAAAAAGGTGTTGGCTCTGTGCAGGATCCAGCCTGCTTAAATTGACACCTAGGTGCCTAAAGCCTAAGGCTCAGAGAATAATCCAGTCTGTCTGCTTCTTGCACTGCAAGGCGTCTCTGTACTGCACTTGAAAATTTCCTGGGCACTTACTGTAGTCACCTATTCATGCCTAAAAGCACCTGTTAGACAAGAGACAGGTATCTCTCGCTCCCCAGAGCTGTCACGGTTCAGGCAGGCAGGCACCTGAATGGCGTGACTGCTCTGGGGTGGCCTGAGGGCCTGGGTGTGGCTAGGGCTGTGACTCCCTCTCTCTGATGGGTTAGTGTTGTGGAGGGACAGGACAACCTGCTCCCGAGGAAGAATCAGACTTGGCCGTGGTGCCCTAGTCCTCATGCTGTGTGCCTGTTCACAGCGACCCACAGAGGGAGGGGTGAAGGCTTTCCCCCAAATTCTCTAAGGCCCAGGGGGCAGAGAGCTGTCTTCAGTGTAGAAAGTCTAAATTCAGTCTTTCTTGGGCAAAGCAGAGTTTAGAAATTATGTTTCTTACCTTATGAAATACTCTTATCATGAGGGGATGGAGACACCTAGCACTTCCCATCAGTTCTCTTCACTCGCAACGGAAAGGAGCAGCTTCGTATACAGAAAACCTCCCTGCACATCTCTAGAGACCATGCTGGGAATTTATGCAGTTAGGGCGGGCGGACTGACCAGTGTCCTGCCCAGGGATCTAAACCACGTGGGGTTTTTGCAAGGCAGCGACTAAAATGAGAGCTGAAGTCAGGTCTGTATTACAGCTCTGTTTCTACGTTCTCCAGCCTCCAGCATCAGTGGTGGTTAAGGTCAGGCTTTTAGTATGCTGCTGCCTTGCAGGTATGTTGATGTGTACTGGTAATTGTAGGTGATGTGATATGCAGTGCAAGTGACACCTCATCCTGCTGCAGGTGGAGGGCGTGGAAAGCCATAATTGTTTTAAAAGATATCGGCATTTGTGTAGATTATATTATTTTTATATTATACAGATAAGTGGAATGGAGAAAGTACGGTCTTGTGGAAACGGAGGTGAAAATCAAATTAAATGCTGGATGGGAAAATTTTCATCTTCTGGTCTAGTGCAATTACAATATTTGCTCAGTACTAGGGGAAAAAAAAAGTGGCAAAGCTGGTAAGGTTTGGAAAGTCATGGCTTTGTTCTCCCAGGTATAGGAACCTAGATCAAAAAGCACCTCTCTGTGAATCACATTTGCAGGCACCAATAACAGAAAATCGGGAACCCAGAAATAAGCTTGTTTAAGATGTTGCATCACACGCTAACAAAAATGGAGCATCTGGATGTGGATGCCACTCTTTATGGTGTGTCCTCCCCTATAGAGGTTAAAAATATCTCACCTTCACCGCATGGACAGACAGATATAAACGTTCAATTACTCTTCCAGATTCATCTGTAGTAAACTGGGAAATAAGAAATTGGTCTTCAGAAAGAATTACACATAGAGATGGAATTTGTGATCCTGGGCATCCTCACAAAATCTTTCAGTTTTGTCCCAGAGTTTGTCTTAGAAAGGTGGCTTAGTGCCAAAGCTACTGGCAAGTATTTACAGTAACACGGTTCCAGCTCTACCCCACACACTCTTTATTACGTCTTTGGCTGAATGATTATTTCTGTATCCCATTCCTCATCTGTAGAAGAGATGTCATATATCTTTTTCCTCCTAGCATATAAGTTCTTCTGCTCTGGTACTGTCTCATGATAAGTATGGAGGAGGCAATCTTGTTTAGTGCCTCTGAGCTTCCACAGTATGCAATTATCAATGTTAATGTCTTCAAATTGAGGGAGTGATTGGATCTAGCAGACTGCTTTGTTGTTTGCGTGTTGTGTAATTATGAGCATTCGTTACAAACAGGTATGTCTAATTTTTCCAGCTCTCGGCAAGTTGACTACAATGATGGTATTATGGGTTGGGTTAAACTGACTGGAACTGGTGAGTGAAATGGCTGCCCTTCTGTTATGAGTAAATGCAACAAACACAGAGCTAGGCAGGTTGAAAAAAGGGAGAAAAAAAAGACTTGTTCAATACGTGAGCTGTGGATTTGAACTGCTCGCAGAGGAGTTGAAAGCATGGAGCTTTGGTGGGATTTCCCAGGGTATTGTTTAACTATCTGCATACAGTTCTCTTTAGTGAGCAAACAGCAGGTGAGAGAGGGGAGCAGAAAACAGCAAAATTGGAAATATGCTCTAAGAAACTGTACGCGAGAGAGAAAGCATTTAAGCAGTGTGGAAACTGAGAGCAAGGAGCAAAGAAACACCTGCTGTGCCCAAGGTACTGTGGTTTGGCCAGCCTGTATGAATATACAGGGTTGCATCAAAGAGTCTGCCCTCAGCTAAAGTGCTCCAGCAGTTATATTTCATCAGGGAAAGTGCTGGTGGTGCTCGAGCACACTGCTGTCTATCTTCTTTGTGGTGCAAATGGGAGGCTGAAGCTACACTGACGGGCCGCTTGTCAAACTGCTTGCAAGTAAGTTTATAATCAGTGAAAAATAATACCGAATAAGGAAACATATTTAAAAAAAAGAAAAGCCTCTCATTCCTAGACATATCTAGAGCTGCTAATATTTAGAAGAGCAATATCGTTATTCAAGAGGATACCCGGCCATTGTTTCTCCTGTTCCTGTATTTTCCCTGCTTTGCTTTGGCACAAGTGTTACAGCTTGCCAAAGAAATGTGATGTGCTTACAAGCCCAAAAGCATAGCCTGTGTTTTCAGGCGTGCAGGCAAATCACCTGGATCCAGAGCAGCCTATACCACACTGGGCAGTCACCAGTTTACAAAAAGTGGCAGTTACTGCGTGGTGGGAGGCCCTGGGGATGCAGGGAAGGAAATCAGCCATGCATGTCTCGCGTGCCAGTGTGTCGGGAGCCAGGAGGGACTGGGTGCATTCCCCAGGGGACCAACGCCTCAAAAACAAGCCCTGCTGCTCGGTGTGGGCACAATCATGCCTTTGTTTGCTGTGGTGGGAAGGAGGGTAGCTTGGTACGGAGGATCCCGTGGGGAGGGCTGCCAGGTGGCAGGCAGGGTCGCTGCGATGCCCTGCCCGGCGCAGAGCTGCTGCCATCACTGAGCGTAGGAATGAGAGAAAAAAATCAGAATTGAAAAGCTCTTCCGAAAGAAATTCTCCAGGAAAATGTGCGAAAACAAGCACTGGCACTGTTTTGAAACCCAGGGCAATGTTTCACTTGATCTCGATAGTAAGAGGAGAAAGCAGAAAGTGTTGATTCTTCATTCAAACACCGGGGGTGGTTCGGCTAGGGGGGAGGTAGAGCCATGCTCTGTGCAAGTTTATATAGGTTACTGTGCCAAGAGAAATTATGAGGTGCTGCGGAAGGGCAGTTAGGAGAAATGTAATACTGCTGTTAATAAAGGCAGATGTTACTCGTGTGCCACTACAGATAATTCTTACATGCCCCTAATTTTGCACCTCAGAGCGAAATAAAGTTCAGCCAACTAAAATATTATCTGGGAATATACAGAAAAGTAATCTTCGTTGCACAGTTATTCAGCTGAAATGCGTTTAAGCATTTTGCATAGAGTTGATATTTGCACACGCCAAAGAAAAAACATCTTGTTCACACACTTTCTAAGTTTGATATAAGAAAAATAACATCACAACTATGGATTGTTCATGCAGTTGAAGGTCTGAACTACAGGAAATAACATCAAATTTTCAAATAGCCACTGGTGATGCCGAGTAGGCACCCAAAAGCATGAGTGAGAATGAATTTCAAAGTTTCCTTGGCTGCAAACAGAAAAAATAAATTGTGGGGAGTTTGAGGAAGTATTTGGTGTTGGATTTAGTTTGACCCCGCTAATGTTTTGTTTGATCACTGCAGTCATTTCAAAAATTGTATCCTAGGCACAGGGCATATGATAGAGAGAAGAATGCCCCAGTTCCTCCTACATAAACGTTACCAAGGCTGTATCAAGGGTGCTGGGACAGGTGTTTGTCCGTTAGAAAATGTCTGAAGGGGTATTTCCCCTGCAAGTTTCATTCTGCCCTTTATTTGTGTTTCTGCATGCCATTAGTGCCAAAGAGCACTGGCCATATCGGGGTGTTACAAATTCCTCCCCTCTTAACCACAGCGAGCGTCTTTAAGTCTGGTTGGTGCTCCGGGGCCAGCTTCTGATCTCTGTTGCAATGAAGGAAATGCAGGAAGGGTTTACTGCACCGCCCAGGGTTTGCTCCTGCACAAGCAAAAGGAGAAATGGGAGGCTGTTGGGCAGAGGCGGCCAAAGAAACAGCTAATGGGGAGGGACAGTTAAAAGAAAAAAGCAAGAAGAAAATGTACAGCGATACTTCTTTTTATGCATGATGTTTTATTTAAGTCTCTTGATGTTTTGTGGGTGCTTTCTTCGGTTCTTATTTTTTAGTCTATTATCATAAGAGCAGGTTGTGTAAGATTTTCAGGTTTCTCTGATACAGGTGCTGCTTAAAAAGATGACTGAATATTCCACCCTGTGCTTCTGTGTATTTTGCTTCTCTGCACACACTTTTCTCTGTGGATAGTAGTTAAAATTCTAGTGGCCTGCCCTCCTATTAAAATACCTTTAATGTTTTATTGGGATACCTCCCACTTGAAAATGGTTTAGCACATAAAGGTGCTTTGTTCATTTGAGAAAAAATTAAACTATATTTCTGATGCAGAGGCAAGATTGTTTGGGCAGCTCTCCTGTAGATTGCTCTTT